CTAGCATGTGCAAAATTGCAAGAACAAGGGCCTAGCGTGTGCAAACAAAAAAAGAACAAGGGCATGGCGTGTGCGAAAAAGCAAGAACAAGGGCCTAGCGTGTGCAAAATAAAAAGAACAAGGGCCTAGCGTGTGCAAAATAAAAAGAACAAGGGCATAGCGTGTGCACAATTGCAAGAACAAGGGCCTAGCGTGTGCAAAATTGCAAGAACAAGGGCCTAGCGAGTGCAAAATAGCAAGAACAAGGGCCTAGCGTGTGCAAAATAAAAAGAACAAGGGCCTAGCGTTCGCGAAATAGCGAGAACAAGGGCCTAACGTGTGCAAAATAAAAAGAACAAGGGCCTAGCGTGTGCAAAATAAAAAGAACAAGGGCCTAGCGTTCGCGAAATAGCAAGAACAAGGGCCTAGCGTGTGCAAAATAAAAAGAACAAGGGCCTAGCGTGTGCAAAATAAAAAGAACAAGGGCCTAGCGTGTGCAAAATTGAAAGAACAAGGGCCTAGCGTGTGCAAAATTGCAAGAACAAGGGCCTAGCGAGTGCAAAATAGCAAGAGCAAGGGCCTAGCGTGTGCAAAAAATCAAGAACAAGGGCCTAGCGTTCGCGAAATAGCAAGAGCAAGGGCCTAGTGTGTGCAAAATGAAAAGAACAAGGGTATAGCATGTGCAAAATTGCAAGAACAAGGGCCTAGCGTGTGCAAAATAAAAAGAACTAGGGCATAGCATATGCAAAATAGCAAGAACAAGGGCCTAGCGTGTGCAAAATAAAAAGAACAAGGGCCTAGCGTGTGCAAAATAAAAAGAACAAGAGCCTAGCGTGTGCACAATTGCAAGAACAAGGGCCTAGCGTGTGCAAAATTGCAAGAGCAAGGGCCTAGCGTGTGCAAAAAGTCAAGAACAAGGGCCTAGCGTTCGCGAAATAGCGGGAACAAGGGTCTAGCATGTGCAAAATTGCAAGAACAAGGGCCTAGCGTGTGCAAACAAAAAAAGAACAAGGGCATGGCGTGTGCGAAAAAGCAAGAACAAGGGCCTAGCGTGTGCAAAATAAAAAGAACAAGGGCCTAGCGTGTGCAAAATAAAAAGAACAAGGGCATAGCGTGTGCACAATTGCAAGAACAAGGGCCTAGCGTGTGCAAAATTGCAAGAACAAGGGCCTAGCGAGTGCAAAATAGCAAGAACAAGGGCCTAGCGTGTGCAAAATAAAAAGAACAAGGGCCTAGCGTTCGCGAAATAGCGAGAACAAGGGCCTAACGTGTGCAAAATAAAAAGAACAAGGGCCTAGCGTGTGCAAAATAAAAAGAACAAGGGCCTAGCGTTCGCGAAATAGCAAGAACAAGGGCCTAGCGTGTGCAAAATAAAAAGAACAAGGGCCTAGCGTGTGCAAAATAAAAAGAACAAGGGCCTAGCGTGTGCAAAATTGAAAGAACAAGGGCCTAGCGTGTGCAAAATTGCAAGAACAAGGGCCTAGCGAGTGCAAAATAGCAAGAGCAAGGGCCTAGCGTGTGCAAAAAATCAAGAACAAGGGCCTAGCGTTCGCGAAATAGCAAGAGCAAGGGCCTAGTGTGTGCAAAATGAAAAGAACAAGGGTATAGCATGTGCAAAATTGCAAGAACAAGGGCCTAGCGTGTGCAAAATAAAAAGAATAAGGGCCTAGCGTGTGCACAATAGCAACAACAAGGGCCTAGCGTGTGCAAAATAAAAAGAACAAGGGCCTAGCGTGTGCAAAATAAAAAGAACAAGGGCCTAGCGTGTGCAAAATTGCAAGAAAAAGGGCCTAGCGAGTGCAAAATAGCAAGAGCAAGGGCCTAGCGTGTGCAAAAAGTCAAGAACAAGGGCCTAGCGTTCGCGAAATAGCGGGAACAAGGGTCTAGCATGTGCAAAATTGCAAGAACAAGGGCCTAGCGTGTGCAAAATAAAAAGAACAAGGGCCTAGCGTGTGCAAAATAAAAAGAACAAGGGCCTAGCGTGTGCACAATTGCAAGAACAAGGGCCTAGCGTGTGCAAAATTGCAAGACCAAGGGCCTAGCGTGTGCAAAAAGTCAAGAACAAGGGTCTAGCGTTCGCGAAATAGCGGGAACAAGGGTCTAGCATGTGCAAAATTGCAAGAACAAGGGCCTAGCGTGTGCAAACAAAAAAAGAACAAGGGCATGGCGTGTGTGAAAAAGCAAGAACAAGGGCCTAGCGTGTGCAAAATAAAAAGAACAAGGGCCTAGCGTGTGCAAAATAAAAAGAACAAGGGCATAGCATGTGCACAATTGCAAGAACAAGGGCCTAGCGTGTGCAAAATTGCAAGAACAAGGGCCTAGCGAGTGCAAAATAGCAAGAGCAAGGGCCTAGCGTGTGCAAAATAAAAAGATTAAGGGCCTAGCGTTCGCGAAATAGCGAGAACAAGGGCCTAACGTGTGCAAAATAAAAAGAACAAGGGCCTAGCGTGTGCAAAATAAAAAGAACAAGGGCCTAGCGTTCGCGAAATAGCAAGAACAAGGGCCTAGCGTGTGCAAAATAAAAAGAACAAGGGTCTAGCATGTGCAAAATTGCAAGAACAAGGGCCTAGCGTGTGCAAAATAAAAAGAACAAGGGCATAGCGTGTGCAAAATAGCAAGAACAAGGGCCTAGCGTGTGCAAAATAAAAAGAACAAGGGCCTAGCGTGTGCAAAATAAAAAGAACAAGGGCCTAGCGTGTGCAAAATTGAAAGAACAAGGGCCTAGCGTGTGCAAAATTGCAAGAACAAGGGCCTAGCGAGTGCAAAATAGCAAGAGCAAGGGCCTAGCGTGTGCAAAAAATCAAGAACAAGGGCCTAGCGTTCGCGAAATAGCAAGAGCAAGGGCCTAGTGTGTGCAAAATGAAAAGAACAAGGGTATAGCATGTGCAAAATTGCAAGAACAAGGGCCTAGCGTGTGCAAAATAAAAAGAACTAGGGCATAGCGTATGCAAAATAGCAAGAACAAGGGCCTAGCGTGTGCAAAATAAAAAGAACAAGGGCCTAGCGTGTGCAAAATAAAAAGAACAAGGGCCTAGCGTGTGCAAAATTGCAAGAACAAGGGCCTAGCGTGTGCAAAATTGCAAGAAAAAGGGCCTAGCGAGTGCAAAATAGCAAGAGCAAGGGCCTAGCGTGTGCAAAAAGTCAAGAACAAGGGCCTAGCGTTCGCGAAATAGCGGGAACAAGGGTCTAGCATGTGCAAAATTGCAAGAACAAGGGCCTAGCGTGTGCAAAATAAAAAGAACAAGGGTCTAGCATGTGCAGAATTGCAAGAACAAGGGCCTAGCGTGTGCAAACAAAAAAAGAACAAGGGCATGGCGTGTGCGAAAAAGCAAGAACAAGGGCCTAGCGTGTGCAAAATAAAAAGAACAAGGGCCTAGCGTGTGCAAAATAAAAAGAACAAGGGCATAGCGTGTGCAAAATAAAAAGAACAAGGGCCTAACGTGTGCAAAATAAAAAGAACAAGGGCCTAGCGTGTGCACAATTGCAAGAACAAGGGCCTAGCGTGTGCAAAATTGCAAAAACAAGGGCCTAGCGATTGCAAAATAGCAAGAGCAAGGGCCTAGCGTGTGCAAACAATCAAGAACAAGGGCCTAGCGTTCGCAAAATGGCAAGAACAAGGGCCTAGCGTGTGCAAAATTGCAAGAACAAGGTCCTAGCGAGTGCAAAATAGCAAGAGCAAGGGCCTAGCGTGTGCAAAAAGTCAAGAACAAGGGCCTAGCGTTCGCGAAATAGCAAGAACAAGGGCCTAGCGTGTGCAAAATTAAAAGAACAGGGGTCTAGCATGTGCAAAATAGCAAGAACAAGGGCCTAGCGTGTGCAAAAAAATAAAGAACAAGGGCATAGCGTGTGCAAAATAGCAAGAACAAGGGCCTAGCGTGTGCAAAATAAAAAGAACAAGGGCCTAGCGTGTGCAAAATAAAAAGAACAAGGGTCTAGCATGTGCAAAATTGCAAGAACAAGGGCCTAGCGTGTGCAAAATAAAAAGAACAAAGGCATAGCGTGTGCAAAAAACCAAGAACAAGGGCCTAGCGTGTGCAAAATAGAAAGAACAAGGGCCTAGCGTGTGCAAAATAAAAAGAACAAGGGCCTAGCGTGTTCAAAATTGAAAGAACAAGTGTGCAAAATAAAAAGAACAAGGGCCTAGCGTGTGCAAAATAAAAAGAACAAGGGTCTAGCATGTGCAAAATTGCAAGAACAAGGGCCTAGCGTGTGCAAAAAAAAAAAGAACAAGGGCCTAGCGTGTGCAAAATAGCAAGAACAAGGGCCTAGTGTCAGATTTATATGACATAGTTGCTGTAGGCTATAGTGGGGTAGCACATATGGGGTACAGGGTTTCTAGGGTGGTATTTGTACCCAATCTTTCCTTAGTCATTTCATTCCTGCTTACTCATTTCACATGGTATAGAGCGGGTTCCCTGTGGAACTCTGCCTAGGGCCCACCGAAGCGCGCCCCGAGGCGCGCTCAACTTTTTTTTCCGCTATCGAGCGACCCTCCGTGTCGCCTCCCTCCCACACGCGGCCCAGCCGCCCGCTAAGTCGCGGCCCCAGCCGCCCGCTACGATCGCGGCCCCAGCCGCCTGCTCCACGCGGCCCCCAGCCGCCTGCTCGACGCGGCCCCCAGCCGCCTGCTCGACGCGGCCCTGCCGCCCGCTACGCCGCGGCCGCCGCCCACTACGATCGCGGCCCCGGCCGCCTGCTACGACCGCGGCCCCAGCCGCCTGTTCGACCGCGGCCCCGCCGCCCGCTCCTGTCTCGGCCCCCAGCCGCCTGCTCGACGCGGCCCTGCCGCCCGCTACGCCGCGGCCGCCGCCCACCACGATCGCGGCCCCGGCCGCCTGCTACGACCGCGGCCCCAGCCGCCTGTTCGCCCGCGGCCCCGCCGCCAGCTCCTGTCGCGGCCCCGGCTGCCTGCTCGCACGGCCTCGCCGCCCGCTACTACCGCGGCCCCGGCCGCCTGCTCGACCGCGGCCCCCCCCCCCCCCCCCCCCCAGCCGCCTGTTCGACCGCGGCCCCGCTGCCCGCTACTGTCGCGGCCCCGGCCGCCTGCTAGCGCGGCCTCGCCGCCCTCTACTACCGCGGCCCCGGCCGCCTGCTTGCACGGCCCCGCCGCCTGCTACGACCGCGGTGCCAGCCGCCTGTTCGACCGCGGCCCCGCCGCCTACTACCGTAGCGGCCCCGGCCGTCTTCTCGCGCGGCCCCGCCGCCCACCTACTACCGGGAGCCGAGCCGCCCTGCAGCCGAGCCGCCCGGGAGCCGAGCCGCCCTGCACCCGAGCCGCCCTGTCGCCGAGCCGCCCTGTCGCCGAGCCGCCCTGCCCCCGAGCTGCCCTGCCGCCGAGCCGCCCGGGAGCCGAGCCGCCCTGCGCCCGAGCCGCCCAGCACCCGAGCCGCCCGGTCGCTGAGCCGCCTTTCTGCATACCTACTCGACCTGCCCTGCCTGGTGAGCACAGTCCCACTGCCACTGCGAGCTCTTTCCCTACTGCTTGCACTGCGTCGCTGTCGTCGCCATGGCTACCCCTAGTGTCCTAGCTTTTGACGCTGAGGGTCGCGCCATTGATTTTGAGGTCTGGTTAGACGACCTGCAGCTGTTCTTACAGTGCGACAGGACTGACGACCTTTCTCTCTTTGACCTCACCTCTGGCGCCTCTCCTGCTCCTGCTGCTGATGCTGATCCCGCTGTCTGCTCTAAGTGGGCCACCCGCGATGCTGCTGCACGTCTTGCTGTGCGTCGCCACCTCCCTACCTCTGAGCGTGCGCACTTTAGTCAGTACAAGAGTGCTCAGACCTTGTACGACGCTGTAGTTGCGCGCTACTCCTCCCCTGCCACTGCTGCACTGAGCCGTCTCATGCTTCCCTACCTCTTTCCTGACCTCTCTGCCTTTCCCACTGTCGCTGACCTCATTACGCACCTCCGCACTAGTGACACTCGCTACCGCGCCGCCCTTCCTGCTGAGTTCTGCGCTAAGAACCCCCCCCCCCCCATGTACATCGCTCTCTACTACGTAGTCGCGCGCCTCCCTGACTCCCTTCGCGTCGTCAGGGACCACTTTCTCGCAGTCTGTCCCACCACCCTCACCGTCGACCTCCTCGAGAAGGCCCTCCTTGCAGCGGAGAAGAGCATAGTCGCTGTAGGTGCTTCTCGTGGTGACCCTCGCACCCCCATCTTTGAGGGGTGCTCTCCTTCCCCCTTGCTGCCCTCTGTTGCCTCTGCTGCTGCTGCCGACCTGCTTGGTCTTGAGTCGGTCGGCGCGGCGTCTGCCCCTAGTGGGAGACGTCGCTCCAGCAAGGGCAAGGGGGGCAAGGGCGCGGGTGGAGCTGGAGGGGGCGGTGGCGGTGGCGGCGGTGGCGGCGGAGGGAGTGGGGGTTGCGGCGGGACTAGTGGCGGGGGTGGTGGTGGTGGTGGTGGCAGCAGCGGCGGAGACGGTGGTGGTGGTGCCAGCGGTGGTGGTGGAGGCAGCGGCGGAGGTGGAGGCGGCGGAGGTGGAGGCGGTGGAGGCGGCAGCGGAGGAGGCAGTGGTGGTGGAGGAGGTGGAGCTGGTCGGGGTGGTACCCACCAGCGTAGCGGCGGTGGTGGTGGCCAGCGCTCGCACCGGCAGCAGCAGCAGCGCTCGCGGGACATCCCTTCGCCTCAGCAGCTTGGTGAGTGGTACGCTGGGCGTCAGAGGGGTGGGGGTACTGGTCCCTGCACCTACGTTCTTCGTTCCGGCGACCGCGCGGGTGAGCAGTGTGGGGGTGCCCACGCCACCCAGCGCTGCTTTGGCCGCCTGACGGACGCTTGGCGTCAGCAGTTCCCTGGGGCTAGTGAGATCCCTCGCTGGGATGAGCTTCTCAGGGCTGGTGTAGCGATCTTTGATCTTGATTTTGATGCTATCCTTACTGCTATGTATGTTGTGGATTATAGTGAGGAGAATGAGGGTTACCGTTGTTTCCAGCCCGACCCGGGCATTGGTACTGCTGCGCTAGGTGCTTGTGAGGCTGCTGCTCTAGGTGCCAGTGCGTCTGCGCTCTCAGGTACTGGTGAGACTGCGCTCTCAGGTACTGCGTCGTCCTCGTCCTCCCTCACTTTCACACTTGACTCCGGAGCTTCTCGCTCCTTCTTTCGAGACCGCACTACCCTTACGCCGCTCGGCCGGCCGGTTGCAGTCTCCCTTGCTGACCCCTCTGGAGGTCCTGTCCTGTCTCACTTCTCCACTGTCCTCCCGTGTCCGGCTGCCCCTTCGGGCACCCTGTCGGGTCTGTACCTTCCCTCGTTCTCCACGAACTTGGTGAGTGGAGCGGACCTGCAGGATGGGGGTGTTCACCAGTTCACTCCTGCGAGTCAGCGGGTGACCCACTGCACGGAGGCACGCACAGGCCGACACCTGGCCACGTTCTCGCGTCCGCCGGGGTCGAGTCTCTACACCCTGACCGTTGAGTCTCCTCCTGTCCCTGCGTCTGGTCAGGTGGCTGCGTCGGGTCAGGTACTTGCTGCTGCGTCCTGGTCAGGTCCTGAGTCTGCCCCCTGTTCTTGTCGCCTCCTGTCTCACGAGACTCTCCTGTGGCACCACCGTCTTGGCCACCCCTCCTTGCCCCGTCTTCGGAGCATGGCTTCCCGTGTCCTTGTCTCTGGTCTTCCCCAGTCTCTCCCTCCTCTCCCCTCCGGGCCAGGACCTTCCTGTGTCCCCTGTGTCGAGGGTCGCCTCCGGGCTACTCCTCACTCCTCCCACTTCCCCCCGACAGAGGCTCCCCTGCAGACGCTTCACACGGATGTGTGGGGCCCAGCCCCCGTCCGTGGGCAGGGTTACGAGCGCTACTTCCTGTTGGTGGTTGACGACTACTCGCGTTACACCACAGTCCTCCCCTTGCGCAGCAAGGGTGCGGTCACTGAGGTGCTGATCGACTGGATCCGCGAGGCTCGTCTCCAGCTCAGGAAGAGCTTCGGCTCGGACTTTCCTGTTCTGCGTCTGCACTCTGACAGAGGCGGAGAGTTCTCTTCTCGCCTTCTGCGAGACTACTGTCGTGCACGGGGGATCCGCCAGACCTTCACGCTTCCGGACTCACCACAGCAAAATGGGATTGCTGAGCGCCGCATTGGCATGGTCATGGATGTCGCTCGTACGTCCATGATGCATGCGGCTGCCCCCCATTTTCTGTGGCCGTTTGCGGTGAGGTACGCGGCGCATCAGCTCAACCTTCACCCCCGGGTCTCTCGGCCTGCGATGTCCCCAGTCTTGCTGTGGACGGGGAAGGTTGGCGATGCGTCTGTGTTCCGTGTCTGGGGATCTCGGGCGTTTGTCCGCGACTTGTCTGCGGACAAGCTGTCCCCTCGTGCTGCTCCCTGTGTCTTCCTTGGCTTCCCCACTGACGCCCCAGGGCGGCAGTTTTACCACCCCTCCTCTCGTCGTGTTCTGTCCTCCCAGGACGTTACGTTCGACGAGTCAGTCCCCTTCTACCGTCTCTTCCCCTACCGCACTCCTTCCCTCCCCCCTCCCCCGGACTTCCTTGTGCCGGTTCCCCCCCCGGTAGACCCCCTCCCCCCTCAGGTTCCTGCCCCCTCAGGTGTGTCCCAGGTAGACGCCGTTGACCCGGTCGAGGTTACTGGTGACTCTGGTGCTGCTGCGGGTGCTGAGCCTGGGGGTGCTGACTCTGGGGGTACTGTACGCGGGGGTGCTGAGCCTGGGGGTGCTACTGCTGGGGGTGCTGGGCCTGCGGGTGCTACTGCGGTGGGTGCGGAGCCTGGGGGTGCTGAGCCGGGGGGTGCTGTGCCTGGAGGTGCTGGGCCTGGGGGTGCTGGGTCGGGAACTGCTGAGCCTGGGGGTGCTGAGCTAGGAGCTGCTGAGCCTGGGGGTGCTGCGTCTGGAGCTGCTGAGCCTGGGGTTTCTCCTGCTGCTGCGTCTCGCCGGGAGCCCCTCTCTCCACAGGAGCTGCGTGAGTGGTTCGCTCGCCGCTGGAGGCGTGCTGCTGAGTCTGGAGGTGCTGCTGGAGCTGGAGCTGGAGCTTCTTCGACCGTCGAGGGTGCGGGTGCTGCCGGTCCCGGAGCTGCTGGACCTGCGGGTCCTCCTGGAGCTGGAGCTGCTGAGGGCGTTCGTGCTGAGCCTGCTGCTGTTGGTCCTGCCGCTGGAGGTGTGGGTGGCGCTGGTGCTGTCGCTGAGGGTGCTGGTGCTGTCCCTGCTGAGTCTGGAGCCGCCGCGCGGCCTCGGCCGTACTTCGTTCCACTCCTGCAGCAGGTTCTTGGTCTTTCTCCTCCAGTAGAGGGTCCACCGCCTGTCCAGTCGCAGTCCCTGCTGGAGCCTTCCTCTCCACTGCCTGCTCCCTCTCCTTACACTGGTCCTACTGGAGGTCTTGCTGAGCGTCGTGAGCCTGCGTCTCGTCCCACGTCGCCTGTTCGTGCTGCTCGCGCTAGTGGTCGCAGTTCGCGTCAGCGTCCTCCTCCTGTTCCTGGCACGCACCGGATGTCTTTGCGTCCGTCCACTGCTCCTCTGCGTGCCCCTTTGCCTTCTCCTCCTGAGTCCTCTCTTCCTGCGCTTGCCGACCCTGAGTCGGACTCTCTTCGTGCTGCCAGTCCTACTGTCACGCGTCTGCTTGCTACTGTCGTCACTGACCCCTCTTTTGAGTCCACTGCTGCGTCTGCTCTAGTCGCTGAGCTCGTCGACTTTGCTGCTCGCTGTCGTCTCGACTACGCTGCTAGTCTTGTTACTGAGTCTGCGTCTGTCTGTCCTCCGTCCGTCGGGGGTGAGTGTGCTCTTAGCACGGACGTCCTAGAGGACAGGCAGGAGGAGTTCCAGTGTCTGGCCGCCGCTTCACCTCGTCTCGCGTCTGTACTGCTTGCCCCTGAGGGAGACCCGGATGCACTAGACATCCCGACTCCGCGTTCTTACGCGGAGGCCGTAGAGGGTCCCTACTCCTCTCAGTGGCAGGCAGCTATGGATGCAGAGATGGCTTCCTGGAAGTCCACAGGCACCTACGTTGACGCGGTTCCCCCTCCTGGGGCGAACATCGTCAGTGGCATGTGGATCTTCAGGGTGAAGCGGCCGCCGGGCTCTCCACCTGTCTTCAAGGCACGGTACGTTGCTCGTGGCTTCAGTCAGCGGCAGGGAGTTGACTACTTTCAGACCTTCTCTCCCACCCCGAAGATGACTACTCTTCGGGTGCTGCTGCACATAGCCGCTCAGCGCGACTACGAGCTTCACTCTCTCGACTTCAGCACTGCGTTCTTGCAGGGTAGCCTGCACGAGGAGATCTGGCTTCGCCGTCCACCTGGCTTCACTGGGACTTTCCCTCCTGGCACCCAGTGGAGCCTCCGACGGCCAGTCTACGGTCTCCGCCAGGCACCGCGTGAGTGGCACGACACACTGAGGACTACGCTTGCGGCTCTTGGGTTTGCTCCTTCTACTGCTGACCCGTCGCTGTTTCTTCGCACCGACACTTCCCTGCCGCCGTTCTACATCCTCGTGTACG